AATCCCTGGTAAAGTCCGTCTGCAAGTCTGTCCGCTCTACAGACCTCCTCTTCCTGCTTCCCTGTGTTGGCATTTGGCTGCCATCGTGGAGGCCACGCTACACCTCCTAGTACCTGGGTTAGGGCTGGATCTGCAGCCCTGATGAGGACCTCCTCCCCTGCCTCTGCTTGCTGGGAGTCTCCAAGAGCACCTACCTGACAGGTGCCCTGTGCTCCCCCATTTCCTCCTTGTTCTCCTGCTCCCCCAGCTCCTCCCTAGTCTCCCTGCTCTCCCAACTCCTCCCTATCCTCTCTGCTCTCCCAACTCCTCCCTGCTCCCCCAGCTCCTCCCAGATCCCCCCTGCCCCCCTAGTTCCTCCCAACTCCCCTGCTCCCCAGTTCCTCCCAGCTCCCCCCTGCTCTCCAGTTCCTCTCAGCTCCTCCCTGTTCCCCCAGCACCTCCCTGCTCCCCCTGCTCTCCTAGTTCCTCCCAGCTCCTCCCTGCTCCCCTAGTTCCTCCCAGCTCCTCCCTGCTCCCAAGTTCCTCCCAACTCCCCCTGCTCCCCAGCTCCTCCCTGCTCCCCCAACTCCTCCCTGTTCTCCCAGCTCCTCCCTGCTCCCCCTGCTCTCCCAGCTCCTCCCAGCTCCTCCCTGCTCCCCTAGTTCCTCCCAGCTCCTCCCTGCTCCCCCAGCTCCTCCATGCTGTCCCAGCTGCGCTCTCTAACTCCGCACCTGGATTTGGCCCTCCAGCCTCCAGAGCTGTGAAGAATGCACATCTATTCATTGTGACCCCTCCCCTAGCCTGCGGGGTCCTGGGATAACAGGAGAAAAGAGGCTGCAGGCATCTCTGCAGCAGAGGACCACTAACTAGGGTGTGTACACAGTGGATACTTGCTGTTTCCAGTTCTGGAGACTGGAAGGCCAAGGTCAAGGTGACTTTGAGGTTGGCTTCTGGCAAGGTCCCTTTCTGGCTCTGCAGTTTCCAGCTGCTATCTTGCTGTGACCTCACATGGCTTTTCTTTGTGTACAGGCACTTCTGGTCTGTCTGCCTATGGCATGAGGGCCTATGACCTCATCTATTAATGACTTTCTAGAAGATTTGTTGGGGGGTTCCATGTGTAGCTTTGGGGAAACACCATTCGGTTCATCACAGGCAGAGAGATCCATGCACTCCACTTCCTCTGGGAGACTCATGGATGGAGCTGCCATACCCAGAATGCCCTTGGCTGGCAGTTGCCCATGTCAAGATGAAGTCTCCCACCTTCGCCAGCCCTTTCCTCCCCATCTCAATCACTCTCCTCATGGCAACTGACTGCCTCTCGGGAAGATGGTCTCCAAGCTTAGCCACGTGCTCTCATTAGTTTCATTTATTGGTAGTGGGGGAGCTGTCAGGCCACGGTTCTGGTTAGGGAGACTATCTTGACAGTCCAGGTCAGCAATGGTGTAAGGCCACCCCCAGCTGCAGCTCAGCCATAGGTCCTCACACCTCTCAGCAGGCAGCCCAGGGTCCCCAGGAGACTCAGTAGGAAGCCACAAGATGGAGTTCTTTAAGGTCTCAGCATCTGCTTCCTGTAGATCAGTGTGACCTTCCCAGCTGTTCCTATCCTGGGGAGGCCTGGACTAGGGTCAGTTTACCCACTCCATCCCTGCTTTATCCCCTCTCTTGGACATTCCCTATCCCTGCCTTCCTGGGGACTCAGGTTCCCCTCTACCCCTCGACCAGCCCAGGGACCACTACCCAGGCTCCATGTGTGGGAAACTGAAGAAAGGGTCCCTCTGTCTGAGTGTTTTTTCAAGTTGGGGCATCCTCCAGAGCCAGGAAGAACAAATAGTGACCCGGGAGGGGGTGGATGTGACCCAGAGCCAGCGGGGCTATTTCCCTGGCCATTCTTTTCCTCTCTGTGACCTTGCATTTGATCGAGGGCACTTCCTGAGTTTCCTTTTGTTGCCATCATAGGGTAAGTGTGGGCCTTGGGCAGGGGTGGTGAGTGGCAAGTGCCCTATACGTTTATGAACCTTCCTTTCAAAACACATTTTTTCCTCCGCAGTAGAAATCTCCTTTCCCGCTGATTCATTACGTGTCGGGAAGCCGAGCATGACATGTTAAAAGCCATCTTGATAGTATTTGATATTCAGTACTAACAGCTCCCCACCCTGAAGGAGGGGGCTCCCCCCGCCATGGAGAAGGGGGCAATCTGCATATTGGAGATACCAAGACACTGGGTAATTTGCATTAAGCATCCAGAAATTCGCTGCTTGCAATCTGTCACCCTTCGCTGGGTTTTCATTTTATAACTTTCACAACATAAGGAAGAAAGCGAGAGGCAGAGAGGATGAGTCTGCAGCAGTGGGGGCTGGAGAAAGAATGGGCATGTAGGGAGCTGGTCAGAAACTCCCAGATGCCACCAGCCCCGCGGACGCTTAACAAACCCATCCAATCCAAAGCATGATCTAAGACTGACACGTGGCTGGAAGCCGGCAGTGGAGTTTCCCTGAGAACACTCATTTCTCTAGAAAGCCAAATTGAAGTAAGTGGGGGGGTCCCCAAAGAGCATGTGACTTGGCTTAGCAAGTGGTGCCTGCTCAAGGTTCCCACAGTAGATACTCAAATGCAAGGCCTTCCTTCCTGGCCTTGCACTCCCTGCTGGATTAGGGTCAGGACAGAGTTATGTGTTCTATCTTGGTGGCATTTAAGGACACACGTACACTTACACACATATATACACATACATACATACACACTCACACACACATGTACACACATACATGTACACACACACACACTGTAGGAGCTTTAAAACATGCCTGAAACACTTCAGCCCCACAATATCAAGTTGTTGGTACCAAGGGGGGGACACGCAGCTGGTATAGGCTGTTGCACGTTCTGGAGAGCAGAAGGAGAGTCTCTGGTACCCTCCGGCTCCTGGATATGACGTGTGCTGTCGTCCCCCTCCCTGAGTCTGTTTCCTCATCTGTGAAATGAATCTGGAGAGGTAAGAGGCCTGGCCCATGCCCAGGACCCTCCTGCTGCTGTGCAGCCTGTATGCTGGGACTCTAGACAGAGGACAATTTGAAAAGGAGATGACACAGCTATGGTGATGCATGGCAACCTGGGCCCTACTTTCTGCTCCTGGAAACATCCCGGGAACGTGGTGTTCAGAAAGAAGAAACCTAAATGGGTTTAATTAGCAAGATCTAAGGCCTCCTGGATCTGTGGGGGTTCCCATTCCCATTGGAACACAGCCACACACACAGGGAGCCAAGAACAGAGCTCCCTTCCCCTGACCTGCAGAAGGAAGGACTGCAAACACCATCATCACGCTGCTCAGGACCACCCCACAAAGCTCCGAGCAGGCAGGGACATCTCCAAGGCTAGGCAGATCAGCAGAGGCCACCTAGTCTCATCATCTCTGAGCCACCAGAAGCTGGAACTCACTGAGGACATCAGAAGATTCTGGAAGCAAGTCCCTGAAGACCCCCAGAGGAGTAAATGGCAAGGAAGGTGAACATCACCTGGTCATGTGGGCAAGAGGAGCCTGAAAGGAAGACAGCCTTGAAGAATGCCCGCCAGGGCACAATCATAGACCTGGCTTCCTCTCTTTAAAAACCCGCCATAGATGTGATGAGGAAAAGCAGCTTGAGGTGAATGGCCACCTTTGGGGTCTACACTGGGTTTAGAAGACTGAGCTGTCTGTGGATTCACTACCAAGAAGCTTCCATCCCTGTCACAGACCTCTGTGGGCCTCAGCCACATCCAGGGACATTGCTACCACCTCCTGCTTCATCCATGTCACCATCATCACTGCCCTCATCATGAACAGCTATGACAATGCTATTCTTTGTTCAGTTTGCATGAAGGCATACAAATGGGTCTTCTACCTGACTAGCTGGTGAGGCACACCCTATCTATTCCCATTTGAACTTTATAGACAAGGAAGCAGGCTCAGAAAGGCAAACTAATGCACCTTGAGCTCACACAACAAGATCCAACAACCCTTGCCTTAAACCCAGATGTGAGCCTGGCCCAGCTCCTCCCTGTCCTGTAGATTAGACATCCCCTATGGCTGCATTCTGGAGCCCTACAGGTGTCCCCATGCTTGATACCCACCTCTCTGCCTTTTTCTCCCACACACTCACCTCCCTATTGGAGCCCCAATGGTGTGGGTTCACTGTCGGACACACCAGAATATTGGGTGGAGTCATGCACCCACTCAGGTCAGGGCTCAACTCACTCTTGGTGGGATCTGCTTCCTCCACACACTCAACAGGGCAAGTCCGTTTGTCTTAGGGGTCCATCCAGCTTCATCCTGCCAGGCAGGTGGGAACCTCTTTCTGGGCTCTCCACCCCAACTCCAAGGACTACAGACACCCAGGAGTGAGCCAAACCCCAGAGCAGCTGTAAAGATGGTGGGTCACCAGTTAAAACTGGGACTGAGTGCCTACACTCATGGATCTATCAATCCTGTCCCAGCTCCAGCTTCTCTTGCGATTCTCTTGAGAGTGGAGAAGTAAGGGGAGGGTAGAAGCTGGAGTCTCCCTGTAGGGGAGAGCCCCTCCACACATGCTCCTGGGGTCTCCTGCTCACTGAACCCTCCCACTTCTGCCCTGTGAGTCTGCACAAAGCCTTACAGTCTGTGGACATGTTGGAGCCCCCCCCCCACCAACTTCCTGTCTTCCTCCTGTGCTTATTTTTTACCTCCTCTTGGGAACCCCCTCCCGAAAGAGCCATCCAGTGCCTTTGACTTTGGAGAAATGGAAGCAAGACTCTAGGCAAACTACTCCCCCGTTCAGCAAAGGCGGGGAAGCAAGGAAGGACTCAGAGCTCCAAAAAAAGCGGAGACCCTGGTAGATAGTTTGGCCTCCCAAATAGGTCCTAGCGCCGGCCTTCCAGCATGCTGAACTTTCAGAGCCTGATACCATCTCCCTTCGCCAGCAGCCCCTGACACACCTCTGCTCCTCTCTCTCTCTCTCTCTCTCTCTCTCTCTCTCTCTCTCTCTCTCTCTCTCTCTCTCTCTCTGCAGTCCATGGTATCAAGTGGACCTGCAGCAACGGGAACAGCAGCTCAGGCTTCTCAGTGGAGCAGCTGGTGCAGCAAATCCTTGACAGCCACCAGACCAAGCCCCAGCCTCGGACCCACAACTGCCTCTGCACCGGCAGCCTGGGTGAGCTGGGCCCCGGGGGCATGTGGTACTGGGCACCGGGTGGGCTCTCCTGTCCTGTCCAGTGAGGAAAGGGATAAGCAGCGGTCTCCAGAAGCCAGGTGGCACTGGGTACAGTTGGGGGGCGGGGCACTGCTGTCGCTCCATCGAGGGAAGGGGTGAGTGGAGGTCTCTGTGGGCACATGGTATGGGGCCATCCTGTTCTGTGAATGGAGAGCTGAGTTGGGGATCCTAGGGAACAGGCCATCTTATCCTGTCCAGAAAGAGATGAGACAAGGAGCCAGTTGATATCACAGCAGCTAAGAGAGGCACCCAGCAGGCCCTTCACCCTGGTCCTGCCCCCCAGAGTCAACATCATAGCCTGCTTTGGACAAGAGAGAGCAGTTTCCAGTGGGGCAGTGGGGACAAGGAGCAACACACAGCTGCCCTCAAAGAGTAGAGATGTTTGGGGTCCAAGGCCTCCACACACTGCAGGTGCCCGTGGGGACCATGTTCTTAGGAAACCTCGGCAGGAGGCTCAGGTCAACAGCTGAGGCTTGTCACTATCTGTCCTGAGTCAAGGGGACCACTCAAGCTAAACCTGGCTTTGGCGTCCGTCTCTTCCAAGAAGGGAAGGTATCCTACACTCCACCCTAAGGTCTCTGCTTTTCTGACCATGGCATTTGCTTTGTGGGGTATGACTCTTCACTCCCCTGACCGCCTTCATTAGATCCGTCAATCAGTTGAGTCCCTGCTCTGTGAAGACTCCATACATTTAGGAGTCTCGATGGTTAGCCTGAAACAGAATCAGGAAGAATTCACCCTTTTCTCAAAAGCAAAATGACCCGTCTAATAGAATGGAAGGAGTAATCCCTGAAGATGTGAAGGTTCCAAAGAGTTGAGGACAGGTCCTGGCTTAACTGAATGGTGGAGAGTGTCACCTCCAAGACCTTCAGGTGGGGCTGGCAGGATGGCTCAGTAGGTGAACGCGCTTGCAACAAGCTACCCTGAGTTTTCAGCTTACTTAGGGGTGGAGGGACCCAACTTGTGTTCGTTGTCCCTTGACCTCCACACCAATGCCGTGACACATGTCCCTCCCCATTCCCATATGCCAAAACTCAATGTGATAAAAATATTTAAGCCGGGAGGTGGTGGCACACGCCTTTAGTCCCAGCACTCGGGAGGCAGAGGCAGGCGGATCTTAGTGAGTTTGAGGCCAGCCTGGTCTACAGAATGGTCTACAGGACAGCCAGGGATCCACAGAGAAATTCTGTCTTGAAAAAAGAATTTAAATGAGTTCTCACCCTAGAGCAGAGTCTAGAATGCTTTTTGATTCTAGGGTCTGAAAGCTGGCCTGGACAGGGATTCCTTCTCCTCCTCCCTGGGCCAACCTCTGGTTTCTGGTCCCCAGAACAAGGGTGCTGAAGGTCATGGGTTTCTTGAAACATTACACAGCCAGAATCAGGTGTGAGAAGTTAGGCTGGGCGTGGAGATATAGTCGCAGACCCTGGGATGAGCCTTCTAGGTCAGAAAGAGCCCTTCCAGATGAGCAGTGTCTGTCTGTGATGGTGAACAGGATTCTGCTGAAAAGTGACACCCCACCCACACCCCCTGGCTTCCCACACACCACATCCTGCTGCTTTTGAAAAAGAGCAACAGGATCAAATCATTTGGTCATTGCAGGATGGTCACATAGGGCATGGCAGAGCTCCAGGTCTGGGAGTGGATCCCAAGTGTCCAACATATTGGTCTGTGTCCTGCCTGGGGTCTGGATGGGGCCATTGCAAAGGGTTCTAGCTACTTGGGAGAAGAATAAGCCAAAATCCCAGCTTTGACTTTGTGTGTGTGTGTGTGTGTGTGTGTGTGTGTGTGTGTGTGTGTGTATACATGTGTGCATATGTATATGCATATATGTGTGTGTGTGTGTGTTCTGCTCCCATCTCCACAGGAGCGGGCAGCAGCGTGCATCATAAGTGTAACAGTGCCAAACACCGCATCATCTCACCGAAGGTGGAGCCACGGGCTGGGGGCTATGGGGGTCACTCGGAGGTGCAACACAATGACGTGTCAGAGGGTAAACATGAACCCAGCCACGGCAGGGGCACAAGCCGGGAAAAGAGGAACGGCAAGGTGGCCAAGCCATCACTGCTGCACCAGAACAGCACGGAGGTTTCCTCCACCAACCAGGTGGAGGTCCCTGACACCACCCAGAGCTCCCCGGTGTCCATCAGCAGCGGGCTCAACAGCGACCCAGACATGGTCGACAGCCCAGTTGTCACAGGTGTGTCCAGCATGGCAGTGGCCTCTGTGATGGGGGGACTGTCCCAAAGTGCCACAGTGTTCATGTCAGAGGTCACTAATGAGGCCGTGTACACCATGTCCCCCACCGCTGGCCCCAACCACCACCTCCTCTCGCCTGATGCCTCTCAGGGCCTTGTACTGGCTGTAAGTTCTGACGGCCACAAGTTTGCCTTCCCCACCGCGGGCAGCTCAGATAGCCTGTCCATGCTGCCCACCAATGTGTCCGAAGAACTGGTCCTCTCCACCACCCTTGATGGTGGCCGGAAGATTCCAGAAACCACCATGAACTTTGACCCTGACTGTTTCCTCAATAATCCAAAGCAGGGCCAGACATACGGGGGTGGGGGCCTAAAAGCTGAGATGGTTAGCACCAATATCCGGCACTCGCCGCCTTCGGAGAGGGGCTTTGGCTTCACCAGCGTCCTCACCAAGGAGATCAAGACCGAAGACACCTCCTTTGAGCAGCAGATGGCCAAAGAGGCAGCGTACTCTTCCTCAGCGGCGGCTGCAGCATCCAGTTCCCTTACCCTGACTGCGGGATCCAGCCTCCTGCCATCGGGCGGTGGCCTGAGTCCCAGCACCACCCTTGAGCAGATGGACTTTAGTGCCATAGACTCCAACAAGGACTACGCGTCCAGCTTCAGCCAGACAGGCCACAGCCCCCATATCCACCAGACCCCCTCCCCCAGCTTCTTCCTGCAGGATGCCAGCAAACCCCTACCCCTTGAGCAGAATACCCACAGCAGCCTGAGCGACTCTGGGGCCACCTTTGTGATGCCCACGGTGAAAACGGAGGCCTCATCCCAAACCAGCTCTTGCAGTGGCCATGTGGAAACACGGATAGAGTCTACGTCCTCCCTGCACCTCATGCAATTCCAGGCCAACTTCCAGGCCATGACGGCAGAAGGGGAGGTTACCATGGAGACCTCGCAGGCAGCTGAAGGGAACGAGGTCCTCCTCAAGTCTGGGGAGCTGCAGGCCTGTGGCTCTGAGCACTACCTGCAACCAGAGACCAATGGGGTGATCCGAAGTGCAGGTGGTGTCCCCATCCTCCCAAGCAATGTGGTGCAGGGACTCTACCCGGTGGCCCAGCCCAGCCTGGGCAACACGTCTAATATGGAGCTCAGCCTGGACCACTTTGACATCTCCTTCAGCAATCAGTTCTCAGACCTGATCAATGACTTCATCTCTGTTGAGGGGGGCAGTGGTACAATCTACGGGCATCAGCTGGTGTCGGGGGACAGCGCTGCACTCTCACAGTCCGAAGATGGGGCACGTGCACCCTTCACGCAAGCGGAGATGTGTATTCCCTGCTGCAGCCCCCAACAGGGCAGCCTGCAGCTGAGCAGTGCCGAAGGCGGGGCCAGCACCATGGCCTACATGCATGTCGCCGAGGTGGTCTCAGCTGCCTCTGCTCAGGGCACCCTGGGTATGCTGCAGCAGACCGGACGGGTGTTCATGGTGACTGACTACTCCCCAGAGTGGTCTTACCCAGAGGTAAGCTTAAGATGCTACCACACGCCTCCTTACCACCCACCTCACCTGCGCCATGGCGCAGCCTGGGAAGCTTGTTTGCATGTGGCCATTCTTTGGATGGAGCTCTGACCAGAAACACAAAGCTGTTCCCTCCCGCGGTGGCTCTCAGACTTTTCTGTAGCAAGGAGTTTTCCAGTCAGGGCTATTCTAGGAGGCAAGTCGCCCTTCCCAGCTCTGACCAGGGCAGTCTGCTGTGTTCTGGCCACAACCTTGGCTTTCCTTCCCTTTTCTTTCTTTTCTCTTTTCCTTTCCTCCTGTTTAGTCCCCCGCTCTTTCTTCCTCTCTCTCCACCTTCCCTTCTTTTGGGGATGGACGGGGTCTTGGTGCCACTTTTAAAGCATCCAGACATCAACACCAGAGTCGTGGGGTTATTGCTCCCTATAGTTCAAGCTTTGGCTTCACTAAAGCAAATGGGAAAATTTCCCAACCAAAAGTGACAGAGAGGGTACAATTGTGGAACACTCAGCCATCTACAAAATCAGCATGGCATATGACCCAGGTCACAGCCTGTCCTCCCCTCACCAAGGACTGATTTCCAGGGAGCTGACCTTAGAGACTACTGCTCCAACAGGATTGTAGGAAGACCCAGGTCTTGCCCCAGGGACTAAAATAGAATGGACTAGGAAGGGGGACAATGTGGCTCCAGATCGCCTGAACACCTTGCTTGCATGTGGCAGAGCTTGAAGATCTCCCTGGCTGTACCAGCACATCCTCTGGACCAGACACTTTACCCCAGGGGTGGCTGCCTGTAACTCTTGGTTCCTTGGCCACATCATCTGGTGACAGGCAGGGACTAGGTTCTGACTTCCTCTCCCCTGGTAAAGCCAACCTAAGACGACCTGTGCACAAATGCCCCAGGTCAGAAAGGTATCAGAGTGGTACAGGCTACAGCCCGGCCTCTGGACCCGCTGCCTGGGGAGCTGGCTGATGTCTCGGCAGTGCAGCTGCTGCCCATAAGGTCCCGTGAGTGTCCACAGGATGTTGGTGGAGGTGGTGAGACCGTTACGGCAGGGCAACGGTCAGGAGCATGGGGCTGGAACTGGCTGACCTGGTGTGAAGTTTGGTTCTACCCTTATACTTCAGCGACCTTGGAGAAGTTGCCACCTTTCCTAAAATAGGAGCCATGGAGGGGCCAGTGAGATGGCTCAGTGATTAAGAATACCAGCTGCTCTTCCAGAGGACCCAGGGTTCAATTCCCAGCACCCACATGGCAGCTCACAGCTGTCTGTAACTCTAGTCCTGGGAGATCTGAGCACCTTCTTCTGGCCCACGCTTACACGTGGTACACAAACACTATGCAAACAAACCACCCATACACATAAAAAATTAAATTAAAAAATGTAAATAAAGCAGCACCGGACGGTGGTGGCACACGCCTTTAATCCCAGCACTCGGGAGGCAGAGACAGACAGATCTCTGTGAGTTCAAGGCTAGCCTGGGATACAGAGTGAGTTCCAGGGAAGGCTCCAAAGTTACACAACCCTGTCTCACAAAAAAAAAAAAAAAAAAAAAAAAAAAAAAAGCCCAAAAAAAGTAAAGCAGCAACGGGACCCCTGGAGTCTTTGAGACTAAAGGATCAGGTGCCCAGTTGAAGCCAGCCCCGTCCACCTCCACTCTGCCACACTCCAGCCCCCTGGTAGGCACCCAGAAGGCCCCTACTGGGCTTCTTCTTAGTATGGCTTGACTATCATCCTGCTCTCCTGAGGATAAATCATTGTACCTCCTGCTGTTCTTACCCAGAGACCCACTGGGCAGCCTCCTCCAGGAGGCTTGGGGAAAGCTTTTAAAGGGGTCAGGAGGGAGAGATGAAGGTACTGTGTATTCTGGGAAGGTCATATCTACCTTCTGACCTGACTCTGAGGTCTGACCCTCTGGGCCTGAGTTTCCCTGTCAACACAGAAGGGAGGGAGTGGACTTGAGACTCTGTGAGGAGCAGCCCTCATAGAAGCCTGTAGGCATACTGCACGCTGCACCCTGCAGCCCACATTGTATATCACCTAGCAGGTGGGATAGCCTTGTTCCCTGGTCTGCAAGTGTGTGCCCAGGCCAGCACTCTAGCCTCTGCTGAGATGAGATCTTCAGCAAGCCTGGCTTTCTCAGTTCTTCAGCCTTCGACCAAATCCTGGAGGCAGTCAGTTCAGCAGCTCTCCACCAGAGGGCAGCCCAGGATGGCAAATGCAATAGTAGTCAGGGGTGTCCAACCTGCTCTTCCAGAAACCCTGATAATTCTTGGCACCCTGAAACAGAAGCGAAGCAGAATCAATTTGATTACAGGGAAAAGGCCATTTTTGTGCCCAACAGGACCTCATGGTGAGGCTCTCCTGCCCAGGACACTTCCCAGGCCGATAGTGAGGTCATCCAGTTCTGTAAGAGGCAGCATTTCCCTCCTGATACTGTGTCTCCTCACAAGCCCCTTGCTGGCATGATTTCTCGGTATCGTACCTTCTTTCCCTGCCAGCTGATAAGGGGGTACGTGTAAGCTGACATCGTCAGGAGTACGGTTTGAAGTGGGCTCTGGCAAGCTCAGGAAGAACTCTGTAGCAAGCCCTGTAGCTGGGACCTCACTTTAAGTTGCAAAGATGGGGTCAGGCTATGTGGTCACTTGGCATACCACCCCCACCAGCTCTAAACTGCAGTGGTTCCCAGGCATGCCACGCCCAGCCTGGCCTGCTGGCTCTTTTCTGAGTGTGCTTCCCTCCTACCTCTGCTCCATGTCTCTCAGCTGGTCCCCAACACACACACACACACACACACACACACACACACACACACACACACACACCACAACAGAGTGAACATGCAATATATGCATACTATGTATACCATGCCCAGAATACAAGGCACATACTATACCACACTACACATGTAACACACACTACACCATGCCACATACATAGAACACACACCCCAATGCTCTCTGTGCCTCAGCATCTGCCCAGGGTACACTGGAACTCAAGGCCCTTCATCTCAGGACTCACAGGACGCAGACCTCAGACAGCACCCCTGCCCCTCCCTAACCCCTCTCCCTGCATCATCTCCTGCCACTGGCCCCTGCTGCACCAGGCAGAAGCTGCAATTAGAACTGTCAGGCACGCACACATCACAAATGATTCGGTGCAGCCAGGCGAGTGGTTGCCATGGGAACCGTCCCTGGAACTGATGGATGCTGAGGCGTCCTGCGGCAGTTGCCATGGAGACGATCTTGAAGTTCTCCAGTCATTTCTGCAGTCCTTTGTTCCCCCGCAGCAACCCGGCGTCACGCCAGCATCTGTGGATGTAGTTATTAGACTTCCCCCTTTCTCACATGGTAACTGTCTGTGGCCTTTTCAAGCCAGCCTTCTCCCGTTTCCCAGGGTTCACGGGAGGACCAGGCTCAGAGCAGGACATCACACCCAGGCAGCCACTCCAACTCCTACACCATCACTGTGACAGAGCCCTGAACCCGCTTCGTGGAGCTGTTCAGAAAAGGATGGCATCCAAAACCACAGCCACCAGAGGGGTTGGGCCACTTGCCTGAGGTCACACAGTTCCCCAGGGCAAGAGCACTGGGAGCTGAGAAGGAGGTTCAGCCACTAGGAGCACTTGCTCCTCGTGCAGGGAGCACCCGTGTGGTGGTGCAGGGAGCACCCATGTGGTGGCTCACAACCATATGCAACTCCAGTTCCAAGGGATCCAATGCCTTCTTCTGACCTCCGAGGGCACCGGGCACACACATGGTACACATGCATATACATGCAGGCAAAACTCTAAATAATCCGAGATGGGGGGAGTGCATTCTGGTTGTGGAACTCCGTCTTGAGCTCTCTCCACTGCCTCCAAATCTAGGTGACTCTACAGTAAAATGACCTAATCTAGACATCCCACCCAGAGGAAGGCTTGTTTGCCAGCACCTTCCCGACAAGGGCAATTTTGCTGGCTCTGGGCCACACATAGCCCCAGAACACCGTCATGGTAAACAGCAACTGCTACTTCTTATGCCCAAGGCCAGTCCTGCCATGCCTAAGTCTGGGTTCAAGGGAACATTGTAGGAGGAGGGGGCCTTGAGAGCAAAGATGGGCAGGGGGTTTGGAGCTCCCTCCAGGCAGGGGCAGGCAAGGGTTAAGAAAAGCAGGCAAGAATGAGGGAATGAATAGAAGATAGAGTCTGGCTGGCCTGGGGCAGCAGCAGAGGACCAGGGCCTGGCTTGGATCGGTGGGGAAGTCAGTCAGAGCTCACTCACTGCCGCAGGCTCCTAACCTGGCCTCAGCCTCGCTTCAGCTCCTGGAGTGCTTCTCAGCCTTCTCTAGCCAGGCCACCAGGTGGCGCTCTCCACTCTGGCCAGCACAGCTCTCCGCCCCCCTGCAGGGAAAGGTGTTTACTTGTTTGGGGGTGGGGTGGATGAGCCTCTGGGGTGGGTCTATCCAAGGTTAGCCAGGAGAGCCAGAGGCCAGCGCCCCTGCCCTCTGCATCCCCGGGCAGAGCATCCCTCCACCCCGAGTGACCTGCCTCTCTTCTTGGCTAAGCCGTAAGTAGGGGACCTCTAGCCTCCTCCACCTGGGGCTCAGGAGAGAGAGAGAGAGAGAGAGAGAGAGAGAGAGAGAGAGAGAGAGAGAGAGAGAGAGAGAGAGAGAGAGAGAGCCATTAATCACTATCGGGAACAATGGCCCTGAAAGAGATTTCCTGGGAGCAGCCACATGAGGCTGCTTGTTCTGGGGCATTCCTGCTGGCCAGAGCAGGTTAGGGAGGGCCCAGCCTTTCCTTCTGTCCACTGGAGCTGAGGAAGGTCAGCTAAGGCCCTACCTAGCTAGGCTTCCAGGCTGGTGCCTGCATGTGTGGTGCAGGAATGCCAGTAAGGGGGCCATTCTTCATGTTTACACAGCTTGAGGCGCCCTGAGTGACACAGCAGGCAGAGAATGGAGGTTCAGCCTGGATCCCAGGCCTCAGCTCAGTTCCGAGGGCTGTATCTGAATTCTGAATGCTTCACTCCATTTTTCTCTTCCCGTGCTCTTCATCCCCCCCCCCCCCCCACTTCCTGAGCTGCTTCGCTACCACACCCTGGGGGTCCTGGGTTTCCCTTCAGTTTCCTCCAGGAACATCTGTCTCTTGGTGGGGACGCTGTTTTCAAATCTGAGTCCCCTCCACCTCTCCCTACATGCATGACTGAAAGTCTCCTGTGTCCCCTCGGCTTCCTTCCTGGGGACCCTGCTGGCTGGTTCTCAGAAGCACCAATGGGCTAAAGCGTGAAAAGCTTTGCTTCCAACTGGTGTCATGGAACTCTGAGCTGCACAGGACAGGGTCAGGGTGCTGGATACCAGCTGAGGAAGGCCTCTGGGGTCAGGACAGCTACAGGCCTCTCTCCTAGAAGAGGTCTCTCCGAAGTGAGGGCTTATTGGGATGGTGGGATATGGGCTGGGAATCTGCATGCTTAGCCAGCAGCCCTCACCCCTCTCCATCTAAGCGTCCGGTGCAGGTACCTCCCCTGTGCTGTGTCCCCTCCCCTGTGGCACTGCTCCATCTCTGTTCTCTCTCCGCAGGGAGGAGTGAAGGTCCTCATCACAGGCCCATGGCAAGAAGCCAGCAATAATTACAGTTGCCTGTTTGACCAGATCTCCGTGCCGGCATCCCTGATTCAGCCTGGGGTGCTGCGTTGCTACTGCCCAGGTGAGGAGGCTGTACTCATCGGGAGCGGGGAGGGGAGGACGGGGCAGTAGACTCTGAGTCAGCCTTGAGATGACCTTGAGCAAGTCATGTCGCTACCATGCTTTCCTCAGTCGTGAAGAAGTGCCCACGCGGTCTATTCCGTCATCAGCTGGGGCTCATGGACCCTGTATCAACTGGGAACACCAGGCATGCTCAATGGGGATTGTGAAGAAAACGTAGCAAAGGGACTATTTAAAGACCCAGTTAGTCAGGTGACATAGCCAAGATGGCCCCAGCTGGGGCTGCTCCAAGGTGACAGACAAGATCTGGTCTACAGCAGGACTGACCTTGATCCTGCCCCAGCCCAGGCCAACCTGACGCACAGGAAGCTCAGAGCCCTGTAGTCACAATACTAGTTCATCCAGAGCACAGGGCAGGTTAGAGAAGTTCAGGGAAGCCTTCTGTGGGGAACTGGGTAGGGTGGGGTGTCACTCTAAGAATAACACTAAAGAGGTAAGCACACACAATATGTTTCTGGTTTCAGGGCCTCAGAGGTTCGTGGGAAGCCAGCCAGAAACCCATGCCTTCTGTGGCTCTGTCTTCTCCCTCCCTCATCCCTAGGTTTCAGCATCATCTAATTCATGAGGTCTTCCTCACCCCTGTTTATCTGAGACCTTTCTAAGGGACCTCAGCTATCCAGGCATGTAAACTTGGCAAATAAGTCAGACACTGATAACAAACCATAAAGAAATTTATTTTAAGACAGTTATTTGGTATTCCTATAATTTTATCATCTATTAAAGATGAAATCAAATTTGCATACTAACAAAATGGATGGGTTTGTTTATTTTTCCACAAAGTATTAAATCTTGGCTATTTGGCCAGGCAGTGGTGGTACACACCTTTAATCCCAGCACTCATGAAGATCTCTGTGAGTTCAAGGGCAGCCTGGTCTACAGAGCTAGTTCCAGGATAGCCAGGGCTACACAGGGAAATCCTCCTTGGGAAAAAAATCTTGGATATTTAATACTAAAGGGCATAGAACATCTTCAGTATTTTCCAGTTGATCAATATCTTGATTTTCTAATAATCAATGCTGAGAATGCCAATTTACATAAATATGTAGTACAAAATGGCAGGAATTTATTTAAGGCCACTTTAGAAACTATTGGAAGTTCTGTCCTAAGTCCACTTAATGATTTTTTTTAAATGAAACTGATCAGCAACTCAAAAAGCAAGCTCTAAAAGCAAACATTCTAATGCAGCACAATCCAAATGGACTAATTTGATACTGACATGCTGAGGAATGACAGGAAATATTCAGTCTCTGTTTTCGGTAATTAAACCGTGTTTCATAAGAGCAAAGAACTTGGTATGTACAGCAAAAACCACTGCAGTTCATAACAGGCAAGTCTCAGATCAGAGCTGAGGTGTTTCATGCAACGCTTGCTGGTGGCATGTACCATATGACAGCCATGCAGAGCACACCACACATGTTATGTGTTCAGAACCAAGGCTGCAATAAAGTCCCTTGATCCAACATGGACACACACTGCCAGGAGCACCTCAGAGTCACTGTGCCTTTATGCTGAATTTTTGGTTATTGAATGTTTAGTTTTACTGTTACCAAACGTCTTATCATTGTATCATTCCATTTTGGCAACAGCCTATGGTATCATGACCCACAGTTTAGGGTGCTATGGTCTACTTAGATTGGTATCTCTGTCTGGCTAAGTCATCCTTGACCTCTGAACGTATCTACTTCCCTATTAGCCTGTGGGCCCCAGGAAGGCAGGAGACTGTGCTTTTCTTAGTCCTGTTCTGTCCGCAAAGGCTAGCAAAGGTCCTTGAGGTACTGGAGGTCTGTGAAGGAGTGTCTGAGGCTCCAGGAGTTTGAAAGCAGTTTGAAAAACACGAGCTTCTGTTCACTTGGGTGGGACTGGGAAAATCTTTGTCTCAACCTTCCACATCACCAGCTATGTGGACAGCTTGTCCATCTGGCCTGGGCAAGGAACAGGAGAGACAGAACAAGGGCGGGGAAGGCAGAGGGACAGCCTACGTTGTCTGAAGCGGAGAGCTTGTGAAAGGAGAGTGCTTCTAGCAGAGGGATGAGGATGGGGAAGGAAAGTGGAGACTCCCGGGTGGGCGGAAGCCCACTGGCCAGGGCTGTGCAGGCTGACAGGGATCCCCTACACTCCGCTGTGGTCTCCTCAGTGCCTGCCTATCTCGCTCACCCTGTCCCCCATGAGACACTCTAGGGCCCACAAACCAACCATTTCTCTTCCACTTCTACCTCTTCTCCCTTTCCCTGCTCTCCCTGCCCCTTCCCCCCCTTCTCATCTTCCTCCTCGCCCCTTCTTCTTCTTCCTCTCCCCCTCCACTTTACAACCTTTGCAACCCACCAGATCAGAACACCCTGCTTCAGGGGCGTTGGCATCCAGCTCTCAGCTCAGTCGAGCACCTCCTTCACTCTGCATACCTCAGGGCTGGTGCCTATAGCAGCCTCCCCCTGCTGACCCAGCTCTCACCAGATCCAAGGCTGTCTCCAGAGGGCCGAGCCAGGCCCAGGTCCTCCCAGCAACCCTGCTGAAATTGGACAGAAGCCATCCAGATGGCCATCCTGGGCTAAGACAGCCCATCCTAGCACGGAAGAGAGGGCAGCATGCTATTAAACTGTCCACTGTGCACCTGCTGTGGAAGAAGACTTGCCTGGCCTATAAATAGATGCCATTTCCTGTGCCTGGCTAAATACCTAGACCTTGCCTCAGGTTCCTGACAAAGGACTGGGCTTTGACCTCTGTATGGTATCCCAGGTCAGGACCCTGAGGATTCTGGGGGCTGTCATCAGTCCTACCCAGGTATGTCCTGGTCAGCCACGACATCTGTGTTTACCTTGGAGATCAGTGCCTCTGACCTTCTGTCTTTGGAGACCTCCTTCCAGATGGCTGGGAGCATGAAATGACCAAGGGTCATTAAGCTCTTGCCTTTGGCACTTCTCTCATAAAGGCCACGTGAGGAGAGGGAACCAGGGTTCTTCTGGTCTCTTCAGGTAATTCTCCTGATTCACTGCACTGCTAATACAGAGACCACCCAGGCAACTGTCTTGCCTAGTCACTGGGGTGCTTCTAAAATATCCTATCTCCAACCAGATGCCACAAAACTTGGGGCTGAGTGCCATGGTCTGACTGCTGGGCACCTCCTGTTGGCAGCCAACCTCACAGAGCATGCCCCATGAGGATATATCAGTCTTACCATCCAGATTGAAACAGGTCCTGTTGGGTATATTGATTGGTTGGTTCATTCATTCATTATTTCATCATTTCCAAATCATTTGTAAGAGTCATTTGCCATGGACTGAGTGAATGCCTAGACTGAAGCCCCAGGAGCACCTGACTCAAAGAGCTTCTAGTGTAAAGAGGCTGGGTCAAGTCAACCAACCTCTTCCTTGAGAGATGATACCAGCTGCTAGGGATGTCATCGTGGGGTCTCCCGGAGGAAACTGAAGTGCATGGTAAAGGATGAACACCAGACACTAGAACCAAACTGGCCTTGCCAAAAAAGGGACTTGAAGGCAGGTGAACACAAGCCAGGCCACCTTAGAGGCTGAGACTGGGAAGAGAGAGGAAGCACAGAGAACACAAATGCCAACCGCTTGGCAGCCTGGTGCACCTGCCTGGGCAAAGCCAAACCTGACCGAGAACAGAGCTCCTCCAAGTTCACACACCGCTGCAACAGTAGACACTAGGCCTGAGACTGTCCTGAACCTGGAGGCTGTCAGTCAAGTCAGGCTGCCGAGGAAGGGTGATGCAGTGGAGTAGAGGCAGCAGGCAGAGGAGTCTACCAAGATGTCTGCCGGCTTGCAAGCCCCACCTGGTCTCCTAGGAAGTCGTCAGAAGGCAAAAGATGAAACCAAAGTGAGTAGAACACATGTCAAAACAGCTCACTTAACGGAGTTAGGGATGATCAAACAGGATCTGGACGTTGACTGGGGCACTGAGTGTGAAGAGCTGCACCGGCAGGGTCTCAGCTGCTGGGGGTTGACACTCCGCCACAGGAAGATAACAGAGGAACTAAAAGATACAATGAGGGCAAGTGGAGAGAGGGTATACACAGCAGCAGCTCCTTCTCAGACATGGGGAGCGCCTCCCCTGGAGGCTGGCAGAAGAAAGATGGCGCGGAGCCAGTCTTGGAAAGGGTGGAACGAAGTGTCACAACAGGCAGAGAGGATGCAGGGAGCACAGAGGCCCCGAGGCAGGGAGAGGTTTGGCAAGTTGGAGTCTGATTTAATTGTACTCACATGGGAAGTCGATGGTTTTAGGCAGCAGAATGATTTGTTCTAAATTATGTATTTAAAAGATGATTCTGAACGGGGTGTGCTAGCACCTACCTTTAATCCCAGTACTGGGGAGCAGAGGCAGGTGGATCTCTTAGTCTAAGGCCAGCCTGGTCTACACAGTGAGTTACAACCTGGCTAAGGCTATATAGTGAGAACCTGTCTTTAAAAATAAAAAATGAAAGATTATTCTGAGAGGATGGGTTAGGAGGAACAATAACCTAAATGGGAAAGCCAGGGGAACAGGGCTAAGGGTGGCTTTAAGAAAGAAGACTCCCCTGGCAACCTCCTCTAAGGGTGCTGCAAGACAGTCCCCCTGCCCCCGTACCCTCCCCCTCCCCCCCTCGCCTTGCAGCAGAAACAGGAGGCCACTGTGTCAGCCCGGGCATGGGATGGTGGTTGATGAGAGCAGAAGCACTGGAGACAGGGGGATGCATGGGGCCAGGAACTGCTGATTGGCTGAGGGAGGAAGGAAATCAAGGAGGCAGGCCTGCCGTCTTCAACACAGTGGCAGGGCCCCCTGCACCGCATCTCTCGGGGATAGTGGGAATGCCCGAGACTCTGAGACATTCAGCAGTCCTGTGAGTTGTCTAGATGCCAGGACAGTGACAAAAAAGAGACGGGAGAGGGTCCTCTGTTGGGACACGGGACACCAGGCACTACAGCTTCCCCACCTTGAGAGCAGAGTTCCATGGGATCGAATGAAGAGTTCCCACAGCCCTTCCTTCCTGTTGGTAAACCAGGCACGTCTGTAGGAGAGAATAGTAACCACAATCTTGGAGTTTTGCCCGGGGATGTAGTCAGATGGCAGAAGACTCTGGATACCGTTGGGGATCCCTGTCCAGAGAAGCACCATGGGACGTCCCACATGACCCCCACTACCATGGAGCCCATTCATCCATCCTTCAGGGTTGTGTCTTGGAGCAGAGCAGGAAAACTTCCTGGTCACACTTGGATAGTGAGATCCCCAAGCCCTACTTCCTACATACACCTCAGTTGGAGAGAGGCCGTGGCCAATGCATTGGGTTTCCCATCGGAAGTGGGATCTGTAGATGTCCTTTGAGAGAAACCAGAGCTTCACCCTGTCCTCAGGAGCAGCTGACTTGGATGGCTTCCTCATGCCCGTAGGCTTCTGAAAGCCAAGAGCCCAAACAGTAACATGATCCCATGCATCCTCCCTGGAAATCCGGCTGGGGAGGCCCTGAGTATTGGTGTCCCAGCTCCATAAAAGCAGTGCCCAGAAAACATAACCTGACCCCTATTAGGGGAAGAAGCCCTAGCATCGCCACCACTGCCTACAGACATCAGTAGGGGACCACAGTACAGCCCCCAAGATATTGATGGAGACCAGAGAACAGCAGCCTCCATCCCAGCAGAACTAGGTCTCCACCTCCAGCTGGCTTTTCTCTGCCCTAATGAGAACATTTCATCCATTGATTGAGCTCATTCAGGAGTCACTGAGTCCAGAGTTTGCACTAGAATGCAAACTCCTGCTTTCCCAAAGTCATTGGAAGGCAGTACAAGATTTGAACTTGCGTCTCTGGCTCAGTAGCTACCTGGCCCACAGCATCTCAGGCCAACAGGAGCCACAGTAAGAGCCACAGATGAAACTCTGGCTGTCAGCAGGAGGCCAAGGAGCTCCTAAAACACCAAAGATGTTACATGAAGTGAGTCAGGACACGGCTGCAGGGAGAGGCAAAATAAGTACAAATGCTCAGATGTTCCTGAACCTGGGAAGGATGGATGGGACAAGCTACCTGCGCTGAGCTCAGGTCCCTGCCCATCCCAGGGAGCACAATTAAAACCATAGAGGCTTGCCAGGTGTGGTGGCATGTACCTTTAATCCCAGAACTCAGGGGTTGAGGCAAACAGATCTCTGGGAGTTTGAGACCAGCCTGATCTACACAGTTCCAGGCAAACTAGGGCTACACAAGAGAACCTGTCTTAAACAACAAATAAACAAACAACAATGAACAAACAGGCAGAGGTTCCTCTGGGACACCTGCTGAATCTGGAGCCAAGAGTTTTCCCAGAAGTGTCACCTTGGGCCTTGTGGGATAGGCAGGCATGGGCAGGGTTAATACTTGGTTGTTAACTGAAAGGGGGTAATGAGAAGGGGCCCTCACCCTGACCTCTCCCTTTCTGACTTTCAGCCCATGACACGGGTCTTGTGACCCTACAAGTTGCCTTCAACAATCAGATCATCTCCAACTCGGTGGTGTTTGAGTACAAAGCTCGGGCCCTGCCCACACTCCCTTCTTCTCAGCACGACTGGCTGTCATTGGACGGTAAGAGTGGCGTTCTGGTTGCCTTGTGGGTACAGAGGGAGAAGAGCTGGTGCATAAACGTAAAAGTTATAAATGTATAAATGCTGGAAGAGAGGAGCAGGAAGGGGTGTCAGGGTCAGCCAACGGAGGACCTGCTGAGTCCTCCCATAGGATGGTGAGTCTATACCATTGGCTAGCCTGTGTCTGGTCACTGGCTCACCTCATCTTAATTCAGCCTCTCTTGGGGACAGATGAAATATGTGAGGCTGGCTTGTGGCTGTCACTCCTGTCAAGGTGTCCAAGTAGTTCAACCAGCTCCTGGGAGTTGTGAGGGCCCCAGCAGCAAGTCCAAACAGCTACTATCCCCCTAGTGCTGCTTCTGTATTTGCTACAGGAAGAAGAGGGGGTCCTGGAGGCCCAGCCCAGCCCCATACCTCCTGGAAAGAACAGCAGCGTGGGTGCTGTGGGGGCACCTCAGGCCCAGGCTTTATTCAGATTCAGAGGCTTGGGTGGCCAGGCTGCGTACCTGAGATAACTAGCCATGCCTCCTCCCAAAAGCTCACCACTCCCATCATCGAAGCTTCTTGGCTGTTTTGGTTTAAGCCTCTACCCTGTGCAGCTTTTAAGACAGGTCTGAGCTCATGTCTGTGGCTGGAAGTATACTGCAAAGGAGGTGGTAGGGGTTGCTAGCCATGGAGGAGAGGGGCTTCCAGAGTTGGTGGCCTTGGCCTTGAATTGATGGGCAGGTTTCTTTCACCTGGGGGCAACAAAATCTCTGCAGGAAAAATATGGCAAAGACAGCTAAGGGGTTCCAGGATTAGAGGCTGCCTACCTTCCCCTACCTGGGCATGATGCAAGATGCCCTAGAGCTGGCAAGCCCTGGGTGGAGTTTTTCGGAGGGTACAAATCCAAGACCTAGGCCCAAGTATCTGGGGAGGTCATAGAGGTAACAGTCTGTGGGGTACCTTTGTTGGAAGCTGCAACAATCTCTGGGTGTTGAAGGGCTGAGTACCACTCACACACAGTAATCATGCTGCCTTCTGATGTCAGCCTTCCTCCTATTGGCTGCTGGTTCAGACCCTATACATACAGGGCTTTCTAGAACTCAGTGTTCAACCCAACCTTATCCCTGCCCCTGCCCCCACAGCCACAGGATGCCTGCCTGCCATCCTGGCCCATGAACTCTCCCAGAGGTGGTTTGGGGTCAGCAGGCCTCTGCACCCTGGCAGCACTGCCTGGGAGCACCGTGCTTGTCTTGGCAGCATCCCTGGCTGAGGCTGGAGCCAGTATGAGCTGATGACCTGCAGAATGTAACAGAGAAGGGCAGGGTGACCAGGGGCTCCTGTTCAGGAAATCCGGTTTCAGCTTTGCAGAACAAATGGGGAGTGGAAGCTCTCCCAGAGTGACCTAGTCCGCCTTACTAGAGTAGAACCTAAGGATGCTGGGACCAGTGTAGGGCCTGTCTTGAAAGCAGAGTCTCAGGCTAAGCAATGCACACAAAACATCTGCTGGTCCCTGGAAGCCCAGAAAGTCAGGTCTACCTCTTGGTGCCTATGACTAACGGAAGGCAGAGGGGGGATGCCGTGAGAGGGATGTAGCCTGACCACCTCATAACAAACAAACCCCTGGGTCCTAGGCCACATCAAACCTTTTGGGAGTGGAGCTGCCGAGCTGGGCACCTGCTTCCCCGCAGCCTCCTGCTCCAAGACTGAGTTATCGCTTCTGCAGGCCTCCATGCTGAAATACCCACAACCCCTTGGCACAAAACAGGAGAGATAGCACCAAGACCCCGGCATCTAAGCAACATTGGCTTTTTGTTACCATCCAGGACCCCGTCAGAACCCTAGCTCCACACATATGGGAGCCACTCTGAGGAACCAAACTGGTCCTACTTGGTTGGGGAAGGCCAGCCTGCTGTCCATTAAGGCCCAGAAGCATTACAGAAGGACCTGTGGCGTTCCTTTCCCTTTGTTCTTGGCCAGAAGTTCTTTCAAGTAATGAGAGGGGAGAAGAGGTGGGGTCTCCGGGACTGTGAGACCCCACCTGGCTGGGAATCCGGGAGCTTCCCCGGGGGCTTCTAGATCTCCTAAATGAATGTGCATGGCTTGCCCACCATTTCACCCGTCTGATGGTCCGTGGGGGAGGGGAGCAGCACTGAAACCGCCAGGGGCATAATCTGCCCCAGTGCTGGAGACAGCTGAGGCAGCCAGCAGGAGGGCGGGGGTCTCCTGGCCTCCTGCCAACCGGTTGGCTTGGCAGTGAGCTTTGTGTGGAGGCAGATGCTGCAGCGGCCGGGCGGTGGTAAGCTTCTCCCTTCCCTCCCTCTCTCGCGTCTCCACAGCTCAGTCCCTGCCTCGCCACGGTCATTGGGCACCTTTTCCATCACAGCTCACCAGACAGCGGGGACGTGTGTGCAAAGGCGGAGGTGGGAGCGAGGAGACTGCAGCGCCCGGAGATTTGGGGCAACGAGGGCGGGAAGCGCGCGCGGTGCACATACTCGCCTCCCCACCCCCCAAAGCGAGCGCGTGCGCGCAGCCGCAATGCGGGGTCTCTTAGCGCAGTGGCTGGTGACGCGGGTCCCAGTGGGGTTCTAGTGCACGCCAGCTGCCGCAGAATGGCGGGCGTTCATAGGAAGAGTGCGAAGCCCTTCCTAGCAGGGGAGGGGGACAGGGATGGGCAAAATCGCCAGGATTGCGGGCTGGTAGTCTTGCTATCCCTACTGGCATCGTCCTCTTCCGACTCTGGGGAGCGTTCTTTGTCCCTACCCTGCCTCAGAGCCGAGGACTATTTGAGGATGAGAATTTCTGCCTTTACCGATTTTAAACAATGGACTTGTTTACCAGATTCAAGGCCAGGTGGGGGCGCCTGATCCGCAGCGCAGCGCACGAACGCGCACGATGCGCGTGCACGCAGCAGCTGCGGCTCCGCCTTTGTCCTCGCTACAATCTTTGTCCCCGCCGCAGTCTTTGTCCCCAGTGGTCGGTCTTTGTCTGCTATGCAGCTTTTGTGTGCGCAGCCCCGCCCAGCAGAAAGCGATTTTCTTCTAGGTGGGGTCGGATGGCGCAGACACTTCTTGTCCTCAAACCTCCGCTAAGACAAGACCAGCAGGCAGGGAATGGGCTAGCGGAAAGAGGAGGCGCAGATGAGGCAGCCAAAAGCCTTCTGTACTGCCACGCCCTCTCAAGACCTAGAGAGTTTCACTACTGGGCGCTGGGGACAAAGCTATGTCTGCTGAGACCCTATTGCACCAGGCAGCCTGTGGTAGTGTGCAATACCTGGTTGTGTCATGAATGTGTTCATGGACGCCAGTGGGTGCAGAGAGGACTAAGGAAAACCGAGCGTTAATCCACCCCAGTGTTCCAAAGCTCCGTGGGAGGAAAGGCCACTTGAAGGCTGAGCAGGCAGGCATCAGCCAGGCTAAGCGGGATGAGTATCCCGGGAGGAGAGGAAAGCCTCCATCTTTGTCTGCCCAGACTCTGCATACTGGCACTTTCACCGTTTCTCCCTGAGGTCCAGATCCAGAACACGTGTCCCAGGTCATTTGCACCCTAGGACCCCAAGACAGTCAGAGCAACAGGACCTGCAAGAGGGCACTGCTCCGGGCTGGATGTAGGGAAGCCTCAGGACATTGGGTAAGGCTTCTGGGAAGTGTCTCCTCTGTCTGGCAGAGCTGTGCCAAGAGCTAAGGCTGTCTCACCTGTATTTGTGTTCACAAAGAGAATAAGCCCAGGCTATTCACCGCTCCAACCCTGAAGCTGAGGACACGGTAGGCAGACACTCATCTGGCCACAGACATTGGGGTACCTCTAGGTGACCTCTGTCCCTGGAAGGGACAATGAGTGGAATTTTAGTGTCTTGTCTTTTCCCTGTAGCCATCTGATTCTCCCAAAAGGTGGGCTGAGAAGATTCACAGGCTCCCTGCCCCCACTCCTACCCTGCTGTCTCCTTGAACATCCCTAAGCTGCTTAGGTTGTTCGCCACTTCTCTGACAGCTGAGAGGACTGGAATGAGACATGGATGCAGCTCCCGTGGGCTGGTCACCTGGACAAGCCTGATGACTTCACTCTAGGGAGGGAGGGACCTTGTCATCTCAGGCAAGGAGGAAGCTGGGTTTGGGAGGTACCTGCTTCCCATGCCAGCTTCAAGCAGGCTAGAAGTCTCCTTCAGCTCACAGGGCAGAGGAGATTATTTCCTGACACACATACCCGAATACCCCTCTCCCAGCACCCTGGCTTTGGCCTGGCATCTGGAAGACCCATACCCTGTCTAGAGAGATAAAAGAAGAGGCAAGGCCTGGCCTCCTAGTTCCATCTGGTCTGACCTGCCCTCTGTGTAAACAGATGGGTTTGCAACCGCCTCTGAGCCGTAATATTGCTGTGAGCAGGTCTGGCCCTGGCATGTGGGTCCCTCCTCACTGGCTTCTAACTCCAGCCTGTGCCCACCAGGGTTGGGGGTCACATGTATGTAGATACACTGCATACAATCCCAAGACCATAGAAACCTAGGGATCTTGAGACCCTGTGTGCAGTCTGGCTGTGGCACGGGCCCCTGAGAGGCCTCTGGGACACTTCTTCACAAGACAGCACTCTCGGGGCCTTCTGATGAGGGACCCAGGTCCACCTAAACCAGTCTGTGTTCCCACTGTCCGCCCAGGTCCTCCTAGACCAGTCTGTGTCCCCCACTGTCCGCCCACCTTGCCATCATTCATCCTCACGGGGCCTGCTGGGTGACAGGGAAGAGAACAGATATGGGTAAGCAGAGACCCAGATCTCTCCAAAGGTGTCATTTCCCCACACGATGGAGGAAGAGACAAAAGTTAATTTTGTAAATCATAGCACAGAATACAATATTCACAAGAATTTGTTTGTTTTTTAAGAAGGGTCTCACTGTGTAGCCTTGGCTGGCCTGAGACTCACAATGTAGACTAGGCTGGCCTAAACTCATAGAGACCTACCTGCCTCTACCTTCCAGCACTAGGATTAAAGGAGTGCGACACCACTACAAGATTTTTTAAAGAAAAG